CACTCGAAAAATGATGGGTCATGGACAGTATTTCATAGATAACTATGAATTAGTCTATGGAAAAATAATATGTAAATAGGTAATTTTGTTCAGCTTTCGATGCTCTATCCTTTGGTATATTACATGAAAAATTTCGTTAATTTGATGTCATCGAAAAAATCTCCACTTTATACGAATGATTTTTGATGATACTTTTGAAATATCATCGTGAGCGTTCGACAGTAAAATTGAGCTAACTTTTCACCAGCTTAACCAAATGCGCTAAAAATTTGGATTTAGAGGTTTTCGATGATGCTGAACAAAATGAGAATATCAAATAAAAAAAAAATTTTTGACGAGTGCTTCGATATCTGGCATGATGCTCGATCATCTCATGGGTGCTCTCTTAAATAATCAATAGCAGTTTTAAACTTGTTAGTTCTTGAAATTTCAAACGTAATATCATTATCATGTGAAAAGATCTTCAAATCATTAGCAAGTTCGTTGATTTTTTTTTCATCGTATTTTAATTCAACAAGATGAAGAGCTACTTCTTGAATATTATTATAACATTGAGTTAAATCACAGCTTTTACTTTGGAGCATTTCTGTATAAGGCTTTAAGATTGCAAATACACGTGAGACAACAAATAAACATACAACGAAATCTAAATCCTTTATTGATTTTAAATAAGCATGAGATTTTGCGCTTGTATCTGAATCGACATTTTCCACCATGTATTCTAAAAACACGACCACTCTAGAAAATAATTGCTTAAAAACTAATATTGACGTTTGTTTTTCAACCCAACGATGTTCAATTAATTTGGCCAATTTTTTTCGTTTCATGTCACTGTGTGTCGCTTCTATCGCATTTTTTAAAAGTTTTTGTTTTTTTGGTGATTTACTAATAGATTTTATAATAGCTTTAAGTGTACCAAAAAATAATTGTATATATCGATCATCACATGCATCACATATGGGCAGATCTGATGAGTGACTAGCGCAATGGACATAGAGTGCTTTTGGTGCAATGTCTAAAATAAGTTTTTGAACACCACTAATGTGGCCGGACATGACAGTACAACCGTTATATCCTTGACCTAAACATATGTTTTACATACTTCAATATCAAAAACTTAAAAATAAATTAAATACTTACCTCGTAAATATGCTAAATCAAGACCAACTGATTGTAAAAAAAAAATTATATGTTCAGATAGACCTTTTGCTGAATTATCAGTGATTGGAGTGAAGCCAATAAAATCTTTTTTGATAGCTATTTGATCACCATCATGACATAAATAACGAACTGATAATGACATTTGTTCGGTTCCAGTTATGTCTGAAGTGGCATCGACTATAACGGAAAAAAAAGTTTTTTTTTTCAATGATACGGTTAACAATTTGTGCTCTAATCATATCAGCACAAATGCCAATTAGCTCGTTTTGAATTTTGGGACTCATATACATTGCATTTTTGGCGGACGTTGTCAAATGATCATGTAATACCATATCACCACTTTCCACACGGAAAAGAATTAATTCTTTAAAATTTCCTAAAATGATAGTAAAAGACAAATGCATTTCTTTCGACTGCAAAAAATGTTACCTAAACCCTCCGTTGATTTATAATCAATGCCATCGTCATCATGACCTCTGAATGCTAAATTTTGTTTGCCAATAAAAAGAATACACTTAATAATACTCGCTAAAATTTTTCTGTTTATAGCTTCTTGTTGTTGATATTCATTATCTAATATACGATCAATAGATTTGCTTGGATCTGTATAACTTATAATAAACAGTTCAGCTTGTTCTTTGGAAAATAAATGATAATCAGTTTTTTCATGAGATCGAAAATAATCATGAGCTTTATTTAATGAAGTTAATGGTTTAACAACGAGCTGTCCAAGAGCGTTTTTACCTGGATCCTTTGCAGACCATTTTCTTTGGAACAAAATGCAATAGCGGCATAAAACACCTTCAAGGGTATGGAAATAACCAAGCCACGGATATGATAATAACCAAGAATGTTGCCAAACCGACCGCACCTTTTGATTCATGTTAACTTGAGGAAATTCGTATTGAGTAGATGGTTTCCATGGATCGATCAATACAGCATAGATTTCATTAGTTGATATGCAACTTTTATTAACAAACAAGCCGATATCATTTTTACCTAATGCTTGAGCATTGTTATTACTTAAAGTTTCATTTTCATGTTGCTTTGACTTTTTTCTCATTGAAATGTCATTAATGTTTGATGTTGTTACAGTGTGCATTTCATCAAGAGTTAAAACAGGTGTTGTCATGGCCTGTGATTCATCAAAAGTAATACTCGGTGTTGCCACGGCTTCTGTTTCATCAGGAGTTATAATCGGTATTGATGATGATTCAGGTTGTTCTACTTGCGTAACCACAGGCGAATTTTGTCTTTTTCTTTTATTGGAAGGAAAAAAATGTGATAAATTTAGTTGTTTACTCATCTAAAATGTACGTTAAATGAAGCTTACGTGTCACATTTGCACTGTAATATTTAATTGAAAACACGATTTTTCAATAAAGAGTATGTCATCATGATGATATGGCATGATCATCATTTTCCATTCAATATAGTGAATCTTTAATAATCGGACGGCAGAACGAAAAAAAAGATACATCTTTATGGAAGAGACGATATGTTCTTTGTGTTGAGTATGGGAGACGAGCACATAGGTCATCGCTTTGAAATATTTCTTTTCCATGTCATTATAAAGAGAAAGAGCACATTGCGCTTAACAGACAAGCATTCCTTTTAGAAGAAAAATTTTAATAATGAAGGATACTCAAAAATGATATTAGTTAATCACTTTGAACGTTGGCCAGTACATGTAGCGGCGAAAAAGGTAGTGTAGCTTAGTTTTCATTATCGAAAAAGAATTTCCGAATTATGCTTCCAACTCTGAGGGAGGTGCTCGGGCCCCCCTCCTGGGTACGCCCCTGCTTCAAACGAATTTCTAGCGATTCATCAGTCTCTAGAACATCGCGGCACAATGTATAGAGGATGAATGCATAAGCTATTGACTACAGAAATGTCATGCTTGACACGCTATTAACTAGATGGCGTTTCTATGATTTGTTGTAAAACGATTTTCTTTGAAAGGTGTTCATGTTTTTACTGGAGTCAGTTGTACGAGATAAATTCGCTATAGATGTTGCTTTTAATTATGCCATATATATCTTACCTTCATGAAGTCTAAAAATAGTAAATCTTTCATATATGAATTAAACATGTAAAATATATTTCAAGAAAAAAAAAATTCCAACGTTGTTCTGTGGAATTATTACTTCATCTGTTCAAAGTTCTTTTGGTTGGGTGGTTAATTATGACCAATGAGACGTTGTTATATATTAACCATCTATCTCTATCTGTCTGTCTATTTCATTTTATGTAATAAGCTATTGAATATAAAATGAGTAAAGCACATGAAGTAACAGCTTGGATTGATTTAAATATAATTGATAAGCCATGGGGACAATCATTAACAAAAGAATTCGATGATAAAAAAGCAAAATATCTTATTGAAAGTATGCCCGTACCAAATACAATAACTTGGTTAGTTTATCTAAAATTAATATTTATTTATATTAAAAATAAAATTTCAATATATATTCATTTAGGTCAATATCAAATATTGCTAATAATATAAATGAAGAATTCGTTAGTCAATTATTATTATTAATGACATATGAACAATTTTTTCAATTTGTTTCTGTATGTAATAGAAATAAAAATAATATATCAGATTTATTTCAAACAATAAATGATAAATATAAATCAAAAAAATCTATAACTATTGTTATTATTGGTGCTAGTTCATCATTAAATCTAAATAAATTATTAACACGTTCATCATTAATAAAATCTAATGATTTAGATAATATTTATGTTCAATTACAACTTCAACATAATTCAATTATAAAATATGCTGAAAAAGAACATGATCTTGCTATATTAATATTATCATTTACAAAAGCTATAACAGTTGCACCTGAAAAACGTTTAAAAAATCTTTCACCATTTTCATTTCATGTTGATACAATGAAACAATATAAAGCAATACGTATTGATATTGATCAAACAAATAAAACACTTGAACTATTATGGAAACAAATTTTACAACAATTTTCACATATGGGTATTGAACAAGCACAAGCTATTGTTAATCAATATGGTACTATACAAGCATTAGTACAAGCTTATAAGAAATGTCAAACGGAAAATGAAGCTAAATTATTATTAGCTGATATACAAGTTCGACGTGGTGCTGGAATTTTAACAACAACACGTAAAATTGGTCCACAAATGTCAGAAAAAATTTGGAAATTATTTACATCAACTAATGGAACTGATCTTTTGTAAAGACCAAAAACAAAACAAAAACAATGAAAACTATTAGATATTATTTTATTTTCATGTGTTTGTTCATTGTATAAAATATAATTATTTTTATTTTTTTGTTTTCTTGTTCTAGATAGAATTATACAATTGAAATAGTTCAATATTACATCTATTAAACTATTAGATTCTATCTATCATCTTTATTGAAAAATCAAAAATTAATTTATTTACATGATATTTTATTTTTATGTATCAACTAGCTAATTACAGATTTATGAAAGTCTTTAGAATTTACCGATATCAATTCAACGTAAATTAAAATGATGAAAGAGGTCAAATATCGACTAGAAAGTAGAATCTAGACGCTTAAATTTTTGGTAATGCCACTAATTTGTACATGTCTATCTTGTTTTTTTCGAGTTCTGAATCCTGTTTGTTCACACCGAAAATTTTTAGAACTATGTCGCAGAACTTTAGTCTTAACAACAAAGTAAATAATTTATTAGCATTTTAATTAGTCTAGCTTTCTCATTCATTTTATCATCGAGTCATCTTTTAAGAGTATATCTAAATACGTAGAAGATTTCGCATTAGAGATGACTAAAACTCTATTCCATGTCATCTATAACAATAGTAATATGAAGCCAATTGTCAGTCATCTCTTAACATGTCTGAGAATCAACGGAATTTCTTAAGAAGTATTATCTAATACAAAACTAGAGTATTATTCGAGATAAGTCTAGGTAGATAAGCTGACTTACTGCATCATTTCATCATTCTATGTATTAATAGTAATGAATCTATATTTGATATGAATTTTTTTATTTTACAAAGTAATGTATCAGTTGATCCATTTGAAAAAAAAACAACTGACCCATGGTTTATTAAATTTTTCTGTATTTGAGCCTCTCCCTATAACGAATTTCAATGTATGTGCATGCCATTAGTGTCTAAGATATTCATGATTTTTTATAATAGAGTTTAAAAACAATATATTTATTGATTGCGAAAAAAATAGAATTGTGTACATGTCATATCCCCAGGGTTTCTACTAATATTCACGAAGAAAGTACAAAATGAAAAATAAATCAATGACAGACGAGACGAAAACAAAATTTTTCAAGGTGACTATGCCACCTAATCGAATCTTTGTATTTCGTACGATCAGTTATTTTAATAATGAAATACACCTGGCTTTTTTTTGTAGTTTATTTTAGATATATAGAGAAGAAGAAAAAACAAACAATGTTTTTAGTTGTATTCGATTTTGATCATACAATCATCGATGCTAATTCCGATATACATGTTAATAAACTTTTTCCATCGGATGAAGATCGATTAATAGCCGAAGAAAATTGTTCACATTTTCAATGTTGGACTGATCGTATGCAAGAAATATTTCGTCAATTACATAAATATAATATTAAAGAAAATGATTATATTAAAAATATGCAAGAAATACCATTAACAAATGGTTTTTCACATTTAATTGAATATTTATATTCATTACCAAATAGTCATTTAATTATTGTTAGTGATTCAAATCTTGTTTTTATAAATACTATTTTAAAACATTATCATCTTCATCATTATTTTAAAGATATATTTACAAATCCAGCTTATTATAATAAAGATGATCAATGTTTAATCATAGAACAATATGGTCAACAAACATGTTCAACATGTCCATCAAATATGTGTAAAAGAGAAATAATTGAAAAATATTTACGTACTAAATTTTCAACATCAATACCTGTTTTATTTATTGGTGATGGACATAATGATGTATGTCCAGCAAATAGTTTAAAAAAAGGTGATCTTGTTTGTGCTCGTAGTGGTTATCGTATGGCAAAAGAATTAAAACAACAAGAAGAATTATATAAAAAAAAACTTGATGCCAATTTTTTTCAATGGAATGATGGAAAACAAATTGAAGATTATATTAAAGATAATTGGTTAAAGAAATTTTAAATATACATATTTGTTTTCTTTTATTAAACATTATTTTTCTTAATATATCCTACACATACTTTACATCATTCCTTATCAAATTTTATTAGTTAAATCATCAACAGATATGCTAAAATAAATGTTCCTCCAACGATTTTCTCAATATGAGAACATATTACAAATTTTTCTACAAAATATTAAACAAAATAATACTGGAAGAAAGAGAAAACAATTTTTTCTCATCAGAATAGCAAAATTTTTGTAAGAATATCTACCATGGGCGTGGGTGTGTGGGTGGAATGTGTGAATGAGAAAAGAACTTTCGCATCTACACCCGCACCCACATTCACATCCTTCCTGCGACCTTCTTACTTTTCTAAAAAATTCTTATTCTGCATTAATTTTCTGAGTTCGATAGTGATGAGAAATTTTTTAAGTTTCAATTTTTTGGATATTATGCAATAAAGTATAAAGATTACCTATCGTGAGTGTCAAGCAATGATGTGAAAACGGTATTAATTAGAATAGAGAAAGTAAGAATTAACAATAGAATAGTTATTTTGAAAATATACCACAATGACGTCGATTTTATGCTATATGTTTCACATTTTCTTTAGTAAAAGAGTCTATTATTTTAACTAAAAAAATCATTTTCAAAAATGTTGTATACAGCATATGCTATTAGCCAGTGACGGGCCACCGGCGTAGCAAACTGTGACAATTGCCATACCAAAAATTTTGGTGCTGGCCCGCCACTGCCCACACCCATCGATCCTCCCATTGAAAATAATCTTAGGTTATCAAATTCTTTTGAAGGTTATCATTGGTCAATGGCCAACAGTAATAAAAGTAGTCATCGTGTTGACTAAATGCATGTATGCAATTAGTATTCTAAACAATTTTCTCTGTTTTCAAACGTTACAAGGACAAGAACTACAGAATTAACGATATTTTGAATAGTTTTGAGCAAATAAAAGAAAAGCTTATTTGTAAGTTTATTTTTTGAGAATTTCTAAAATAGTTATGTTTTCATTGATGGATGATATGTAATAGAACTAATTAATATTTTTTTTTTTGTTGGTTAAGAAAAATTATATATATTAATTATTCTAAATGCAAGATAATAAAAATATTTATATTATTCAAAAATAATCT